ACTTTCCAAGAAGGGGGTTGCTAATGGGCCAGAAGAGAAGCGCATGTGCAATAGGACGGTTGGGTGTACAGACTCTATGAGAGCAAGTGTGTGCGGAGTGGGCAGTGGCAGCTGGACAGTTAAGTCATCCATGCTAAGAAGCCATGACAAAAACATCTTCTGGAGTTTTAAGTTTTTTGAGGGAATGTTTGAATGAAATTATTGATGGATGATTGATTGATTCCATTATTTCCCTCTGAAGGAAGCCATATGTGTTTGCAAGTGCCTGTTCTTAAAACCTTTAAACCTCACTTCTGTTTTTACGGAAGTGAAAACGGATTGTCCTCCCCCTGTAGATCCTGCCTCATTCGCTCCACTCCCGTAGTCACACTGTCTTCCCTGTGACTTTTGGCCTTGCCTCAGCACCTCACTTTGGGGCAACCTCCTCTCTCCTAAGATGTGGCCTCCCCTCCCTCCCAGGGGTGTTTCCCTCCCTTGACTCTGTCCGGGTTGATGAACTCCATCTGCAGCCCCACTGGACCCCAGCTAAGTGTGCTGTGTGCTCAGGCCCCGCGCAGTGACTCTGTTAGGCTCACATGAAGGACCAGGGGGAAAGAGGCCCAAATTGTAGGCCCTCTAGGTCCTTCCCCACGGACTCTGGCCCCTTCACAGCCCCACACTCTGATGTCCACCTCCTCCTGTCAACAGGCAGGCCCCACCCTGCTTTAGGAGGCCTGGCCTCTCCTGCAAACTTCCCATTTACACTGGGCCTACAGTCTTGCTTCGCCTAGTGTCAAAGCCTGGGCACAACTGCCTCATGGTCTGTGAGTTTACGTCGCTCTTGGATGGGTTTTTGTATATTCTTTTTCACACAAGTGGATTAGACTGTTGCCAGTCACTTCATCACAAGCAGAATTTGACTTTGGAGTTAAATTAATATTTTTTAAACTAGAAACGCTATCTAATACTGCTGAATTTCTTTTAGCTTTATTTGAATTTTGATATTTGAATTTTGATTATCTCTCTCAGCTTGGCGTCTGACTAGTCCCGTAAAAGGGTCTTAGAGAAGCTGCCTTTGCTAAAAGCAGTGATTCTTAGGCCTCCAGATGCCCTCTGGGTGACAAATGCAGAATAAAGCTTGGCATCTCTGCCTTCATTTTATATTCTCTCCTTTACGACCTTGAACTTTGGGTCAGGTCTTACTCAGCTCTGCAGGTGGGTATGTAACCATTTATGGAGAGGTCATCTAAAAACTGGCACCACAAGGCTAATAAGGAACAAATTTAACTTGAAGGTAACCTCCTTAAGTAAAATTAAATTGACTTAACCTGTCTCCCTTTGGGACTGAGACAAGATTTTCAGGGACATTCAGACTATCGGCTTTTACAACATCATCAGACCCTTGGAGTGGTGCCTGATAGTCTCCACTCAAGGGGCCCTTCCAGGATCACAGTCTGACAGCCAAAGGTCCTGAGCAACAGGTGGATAATGGTCCCCTCATGGGACATGCTTCTCCAGAACTGAAATAATCATCCACCAGACCAAGTTTGACCAAGACTGCTTACTTATGCAGACCTCTCACCTCCTGTCCCAGTTCTTCCTCTATTTAAGCCTAAAACTCCTATCAGCATTCCGAAGTCAGGACTGAGGTGCTGGATCTCACTTTGCCTTCCCAGTGGAGCCATCCTGATTGACGTTCCCTTTTCTAACCTTACCTTACCTTACCTTTTTACCTTTCCTTTCCTGAGTGGGTTTTGGTGCAAGTGGTCAGACCTGGTTTGTTGGGACTCCCTGGAGTCAGGCTTCTGGCCTAGAACTCTGGTAACAACCCCAAACTAGGGATAGTTAGTTGTTGAACAGCTTCTCAACCCACCCCTGGTGACACTAGGCCTTCAATGACTCTGAAGATCTATTTTTAGTTATTTTGTGATAATAAGGACTGATATAAGTAGGAAAAGTCCCAATGATTCACTATATTTCATTTTGCCTTAGATTCAGAGGTTTTATATCTTCACTCAATTTTGTTATCATTTTTATCTCTACCTTTTAGATCTGTCTTCTAATGCCCTGAAAGGGTAAAGTTTCTAAGCTGCAAAGCCTGAGTTAAAATGTAAAGGACTAGGTACGGTAAAGTTTCTGAACTGCACACAGAACCTGAAATTCCTGAGGCAGTTAAGACAATGCCTGGTACTGACCATTTAGTTGTTAAATAACCTGGACCCTGTGCAGTTTGGCACGTAGGCATTCAGGGCCCAAACCAATCAGTTTGAATGTAGCCCCCCACCCCTTAGAAATGCCCTATCCCCCCCGCCCGACCTGTTCCCGCCAATGAATGTGCTAATCATGTTTGAGAGTTGTTGTTCAATTTTCCCGCGCCTCATGATGATTTGTTCTGATTTGCATGTTCTGATTTGCATACAAAGCCCCCGCCCTCCCCAAAAAGTGTACTTAAGCACTGCTTAACCTCTGCTCTAGGCTCTTGGCCGCTCTCCCTTCTTGAGTGAGCCTGGAGCCCCAGCGCGCTGGATTGGATCCTCAATAAATCCTCTTTTGCTGATTGCATGAGCCGGTCTCTTGGTGGTCTCTTCCTCTGTCGCTCGCCGGTGGTCCCTTACAGCCCAAGGTCTCTCTACTCCAAGAACAAGTCTCTTTTTACAATAATATACAGATTCGAAATTTAATCTGCATTTTATAGAGAGGGTGTTACTCTGCAAATAAATCAATAAGCAAAGAAAGCTTTTGTGATATCTCAAAGCCACCTTAGTCACCCAAATTAGTTGCATCATAGGGTGACTGAAGAACTCATGTGACAATTTTTATAGTGTTTAGCACAGTATCAGGCACACAGCAGGGGCTCAAAGAAGATCTGTTGATCCCAGCGTAGTAGTACATGCCTATGATCCCAGCAACTTGGAGGCTAAGACAGGAGGATTGCAAGTTTGAGGCCAGCCTTAGCAATTTAGTAAGGCAAGGCCATAAGCAACTTAGTAAGACCCAGTTTCAAAATGAAAAATAAAAAGGGCTGGAGATGTGACTCCATGGTTAAGTGCCCCTAGGTTCAATCCTCAGTACAAAAAAAAAAAAAATTGTTGAACAAGAAAGACTAAGGGAAGACTGATAAACAAAGCCCTACCTAGCGTGGCCAGTTCCACTATAAGAAAGGTTCCAAGCTCTTAATGGAAGGAAAAATTGCTACATAATTTCATTTAGTCATTTCCTCATTAAATTTTAGGATTTTCTTTTCTTCTGAAACATCTTTCTTCTTATAATAAACACATGTAGGTTGTTTCATTCTGCTAAGAAATTTGAGCACACAAATTTGGGAATAAACTGTAACTCTGCAGACAGTCTCCAAACACTGTGACCAGCAATGGTGTGGTATATTTCAGTGACACAGAATGCATGCCTGCAGGTCATGGTGTCCAGGAATTTGTTCCTGCAGTTATGGTAATGCCGGGTAATTCCCGGGTGCATATTAGCACTTACAGCCATTCCCCATAAGACAGCTAAGAGAGTAATCAAATGTTCTTATGTCAGCACATAAAACAAATGCCCTGAGGATCCGAAAGCAATCTCCTCTCCCATGATACATTATTGTGTAATTTCCTGGTTGCCTCCAGTATTGGAGTTTTGAGATATTTTTAATTCCAGGAACAGAATTGCAGCTTTCACTCCAAATGAGGCACACCCAAGACCTCGGCAAAACTGGCTACTCACCCTTTCACTTGGGCCACAGGATCTCTCAATGCTAGGCTTCAAGGGACTTTAGATATAATTTATACTCATGGTTCCCAAAATTTTCTTTTCACAGCTGATTTTTTTAAGTTAATCTTGGACAAATTATTCTATATATATAAAAGAGACAAAAGACAACAGACAACAACTGAATGACACAGAATGTGTCATTTTTCAAGCTCCAAACCCTCATCTTACTCCTTCTAGCAACTAACTACATTACCTTTTGTTTTTTTTCTTTTTTTCTTAACCATAGACTCTGAATCCATGGAATGAGAATAACTGCATACCTTGCAATTGTTGTAGGATCAAACAAGTTAATATTTGAGAGTATTTTGTAAATAATAAAATACTGCTCTCATCTAAGGTATTATTAGTAGTACATGAAAAAGGTGAGTACAAGGTAGAACTTGATGAAACGATCGATGGATAACTTAAGTATTAGTTAA